TACAGCAGTAATTCTCCTGCAATGAGCTGTAAGTCAAAATAAAGCAGAGCAATGGGGTGGCAAAATGCTGAAGAGTCTCCACACTGTCACCATTATACTGTAAAAAGGCAAAACCTAAATATTTCTTGCAGTGCAAACAAAATTCCAGCACACAGGATTGAGTTCAATCCTTCAGTGAACTGGAATGTTTAGGTGGAGCTGTTCTAATCAGGATGGATGGATTGAAATAACTCCAGTGCTGTCTGCTCTGAAGCTGAGACAAGCACCTTTGTTAAGAAACTGATCTCAGAAATGTCTGTACCATCCTGGAATCCAAGTTAATTTTACAGCAGCCTGGCTGTCACTGTTGGCACTCACTCGGCTGCTGAACCTCGAGCTGGTTGTTACCCTGATTTCATAAGCAATAAAATATTTATAACACACAGTTCTCAAGTGCAGAACAAACCAAACGTAATTGACATTAATGTCTGCTGTAAGATCCCAACAAGTATAGCATTAAAAACCAGATAAAACGCTATTTTCATACCACACTGAGCAGACAGGACATGAGTTCAGGGTAGATCAAGCTGTAATTTACACAACAGGTGTGAACTATAAAAAAACCTCACACTTTGCTGCTCTAGGTTTATTTCACTAAATCATTCTAAGAACAGAAAAGCATCAGCAATACTCAATATCAGTTTCACTCGAATGATATTCCATTTCATCCTCCACTTCACCACCAATAAAACACTTGAGAGTCTGAGTTGTGGGCATGGAGAGATGCACCCTGTGTCACCCCACCTGAGGCCCAGAGTCCCTGTTCCAGATGGATTTTGCCACTCTGCTATTCTGTAAATATTCTGTAGGGATTTTGCCATTCATCCCACCTGGTAGCATTGCTAAAGGAATTGCAATGCCAGAAAATCAGATTTATAAAGAACGAAAACAAATAGAAATATCCAAGAACAGGACTGGGAGCCACCTCCTCTAGCAGAAGGTATCCCACGGCCCAGGGTTGGAATGAGATGATCTTTAAAGCCCTTCCAGCACGAAACCATCCTGGGATTGTGGGATTCCAGCATTTCCCCTCATCCCTGAGCTGAGGGAAGCCCTCACCTGTCGCTGCTGTGTCGCTGCTCGTTCCAGGTGCCGTACTGGCTGTCGGGCTCCTGCACCAGCGTGTCCGTGTCCTTCGCCCCCGGCGGCTGCCTGGAGAAGCATTGCCTCAGCTGGTCCTGCAACAAAACCTGCAGTCAGTGGCAGCCCCTGGCTGAGGGATTAACAGCTTTTATTGGCAATCGTGGCTTGGAATCTGACAATTAAACTTGGCTGACTGGGAATGAACCTAAACACGAAGAGCTGCTGCGAACTGGGAGCGACAATTCTCTGTACGATAATTCTCTGTACAATAATTACAGTAATTGTTTTCCCGGGCAAATAATGGATTCCAGAGGTTGGAGCTGACTCTCTGGTTTCAGGAACTCCATGCTGCTTTAATACTGCTCTTATCTCAGGTTGCAAAGAACTTCTCAAAGCACCTAAGCAAGCACAAGGAATTCTGCTGGGAATGACATTTCATCTCCTCAAGCACAGCAGACAAACATCAACTCCACTGCTATTTTCCTGGGTTTAATGAAATTAGCCTTTTTTTTCCCCTCTTTTTTCCCAAGCATTCTTTGGAAGACATTCAAAATAAAATGCATAAATAAATAAGCACAGAGCCAGACACAAAAAGCCTCGTACAAACTGATGTGACATCCAAACCCAGTGCAGGACAGACCACGGTGGGTTTGCTTTGCTTTACTCTCACCTCTTCTCTCCTGATTTTTATTCCATGGATCTGCTGCTTTCCTAAGAAAGAATGAGTAGATCCCTTTCTAGGGAGAGAAGTGGGTCAGTGCTGGCAGCCCAGATTTTGCAGCACTGTCAACCCAGCCCTGCAGTTGTGCTGAGTTATTCAGGGAGCTCCAAAAGTTCCTGAAATCCCACACTGGGAGCAGATAATTAACTGTTGGTCCCTTTCACCTTTATTACCCTGAACAAATACAAACACGGCTTTCAGCTCCAGATCAGTTTTGCTTATCAAGATTTTATCTGACAGCAAATTACATGGTTTTCCACCTGCCCTTGGAAAAATCCAAGGATTTTTCTCTCTTTGTAGGTACCCACTGCCTCCAACCCACTGAACAGAACACAGTGCTGGGACTAGAACACATCTTTTCTGCAGGCAGCACACACAAAGTAACAATAATAAAGAAATCCCATATTTAATACGTAGAATTCCTTCATATTATTGGTGGAAAAAGGAGAAATTGCATGTTTATTTATTTCCTTAATTTTGTACACCTAAAGAATGCTGCCTTAAGACTATAAAACCATTAAGGATAATTCAGCAGTGCTGACACCTGGCTACTGAAGGAGTCCCACAATACTTCCAGCTCTCATAACCAGTTCTTATTTCCCAGTGGCCACAGCCTCTCTCCAGTCCTGTTGTGCTCATTGCTGCTGACAAAGTGTGTTTTAATGCAAAGAAAATACAAAAGGCTCCACCATTTAATCCAACTATCACCATGCACCTCAAAGTCAAAGACCAAGTTAAATTCTGTTTGCAGCACTCAAGTAAAAAAGGCTCAGTTTGTGAGTTACACAGAACAGACGTTTCCTGCCTTTCATACTGCAGATGTTCCTGCAGGCCCAGAATTCCCTGGTTCTTACACTTTATACAATCATAGGATCTTCAAGGTTGTGAAAAAAACCTCAGAAAGATGGAGCCCAACCTATCCTACATAGATATCTAAATAGGGAAATGTACATGAATGCCTGGAGGCGAGTGAAGCTCTTACATTTCCCATGCCAGGTACAAGATTTCAGACGCGAGCCAGGCACACGCTGCTTCCAACACGGGAGATAGTCTGGTATTTCCTAGAAACCACAGGGCATTTCCTCCTGCTCGGCTTGGCTGGATGTTTTACCTTCCACAAATTCCCTCTGCAGCTTCCCAATCCCGTAATTTGCTCCAGGAACTCCTGGGCTGAGCTCTCACCCAGTGGCCACAGCTGAGCTCTCACCCAGTGGCCACAGCACCTTTGGTTGGTGGCTGCCCTTCTAGGAAAGGCACTAACAAATACCAATGGCTCGTCCCACTTCCCTCCCAACTGTCCATGCTCATTCAGGGATGGGTTTTTTTTTCCATCTTGATGCTTATTATGAATTTTTTTCAATGCCAATCCCACATCATGAGCTACCCCACTCTTCTAATCAATCCATACAGTATTTTCCACTGATTATGACTAAAGCCCATTACCTCTACACGGACTAAAGCCCATTACCTCTACACGTGGCACCATTTTATTTGCAACCACCAGAATTTAATAGAAATTAGACTGGAAAGTTTAGGAGCAGGAAAAGGAGCAGCTTTTGTGGTGTTGCAGTGGGGAGCCCTTGTTTACACAGCACTGGGTTATCAGGACCCTGGGGGCTCTACAGGAGGGGTGTGGACAGCCCAGATAAGAAGGGCTCAGCAGCCACAGGGGTCAAGTTTAGGTGCAAAGACACCTCTCCTGTGAAGGTTCAGTAATACCTAACAACATTTTACACTGCTGGACAGAATGACACCATCAGCAGACTTACTTCTCTGTGCTAAACCCAAAACAGGCTTGAAAAAGAAATAAAATTACTGCTTCTGAAGACATTGTGAAGATAAGTTCAATATGACAAAAGAAGCTGAAATGTCAGGAATAAAACACTCCAAACTCGAGGAAATCTAAAGCTCTCTATGTTCTAAAGACTTTGTTATACTCAGAATCATTATTTCATTTTGCCTCTGGAGGAAGCTGCTTGTTTCAAGACGATTGTGTCCTTCCCTTTCAACATGTACTTTTTAAGGTGCCAAACGATTAATTGGAAAAAAATAAATGTTCTCTAGGTACCAAGCACAAAAATAAGGAGTGGGAAGAGGAGCTGATCCTCTCCTTGGCTGGTGGAGGAGGTGTTGGCTGGGGGCACTGAGGGTGGTGCAGAAAAGCAATTTATAGCCTGTGCAGCAGCTCGGAGGAGAGGGGGTGCTGAGGAAGGAAGTCACAACAAACCAGGAAGATTCTCCTTGCCAGAAGATGATTATTAGCAAGAATGAAGAGTTTCAGCTTTCCTCTTGAAGATCTCTTTTCTATCATTGTCATCACACTCCTGAAAGACTCAAGGCAGTCAATACATGGAGCCAGACTTCATGTACAGACATTTCCTCCATAAACAGAATATTCAGAAAACTGGAAAACCAATCGTTCCAAAGGAATAAGCAGGTAAAGAGGGGTCTGGTGTCTTTTTAGCACACAAAATAAACCCAAATTAGAACATTTCTAATTTATGGTGACACAGAAATCCCACAAATCAAATAAAATCCAGGTTTCAAATGCTGCAATTCTCCAAGCTTTGATCTTTAACTTCCCAATTCTTACATCAGGAGCCAGGGAAAAAAATCTACTTAATTTTTCTATAAAATAAAGCAGCTGAGCTGTGTCCTGCTTTGCCTCTGGTTCTTCTTCTAAAATGATCCATTATGATTATGCTTCTTTCAGTCCTCCCATGGAATTAAGCTGGGCTTGGCTACAGTCCAGGGCTGATTACTCCTGCAATTTCCCGTTCCTGAAAATGATGCATACACAACCTTGGTCTCCCAGCAGCCCCAAAATTACCCCAAACTCTGGGTCAATGCAGACATAAATGTGCAAAACCCTCCTGCACTGATGGGAAATGAAGACCTGGCACAGAGGAACAGCAGCTCCGAGAGATCTCCTGAGTCAGAAGCTGCACAGACAGTTTCAAAAATATCTTTGTTTGCCAAGGAGCCCGAGACATCAGCCAGCCAAAGTGACAGCCCACAGCTTGAGTGTGAATGTTCAGAGCTAAATTCCATTGGCATGGATTGGGTATGAAGAGGAATTGCACAATGGAAGGAAGTTTTGACCATCTGCCTTGCTAATATACAACTCAGAGAAAAAATGGTGCTGATCCTCTTGAAGAGGATTGCTTTTTCTTTTTTATTTTTATTTTTTTCATTTTCCTCTCTCCTTACTTTAATTAAAGAAGCAAAAAATGTGGTCAAATTATCCCTAAAGTGTGACACTCCATTTTAGCAGAGCTCACAAGTCCTTACAAATCCCCCAAAGAATTCCAGCTGTTTCCCTGCAGCATGCCATGAATACAGACATAGACCTCCACCTATTCATATTTTATGGTATTATTTTGTAGTTGATTCTGCTTTGAATGGGATGCTGGGCTTGATAAGCTCCAGAGGTCCTTTATAACCTCAATTATTCCACAATTATTCCAAGGATTCTAAGGACTAAGAGGTGAACTATACATTTTGAAGCACTAACAGAATTATCAGAACATAAAATCAGATTGAAACCAACCAACACTGAAAACCCCACCACAATAAGAGGGTCTATGGGTCACAGCCCATGGATTTTAATTTGGAAGTACCCAAATGCCAAGGCAGCAAGCGGGAAGAGGATCCCAGGATTTCCATCTATACTTACTATCCATCCAATGAATGCTGCCCATAAGGAATAAGTCATGGCTCCAGCTCCTCTTAATTCCCAGCAATCAGGTGGGATTCAGACTGGTGAGATCAGCCAACTCCAGCTTTAATTAATTGCTGAATGGAGTCAGTGCCTAGCGGAACGTTCCTTCTGCCCCCACCCTCTCTGCTGCAGCCCCAGATAAAGAGTTCCAGGAACTGCCCAGCTGAGCTCAGGGATGAGTTACAGCCCTCCCCAACACCCTGGCCAGCACAACAGCCCCAAAGAGCACAGCACTGCCCCCATCCCTGGGGACCAGCCCCAAGAGCAGGGACAGAATTAATGGAATTAATCCACCTCAGAACCTCCTGGGCTCTACACCCCGACACAGCCACCTGCAGGGTGGTCAGCAGGTAAGGAGATGGCAGTGAGTGGCCGTGGTGTCTGCTCAAGTGGAGCATCCCTCTGTGGGCTGTGAGCACAGGGAGCACATGGAGATGTTGGTGTGAGTCCAGAGGAGGCCAGGAAGGTGGTAAGAGGGATGGAGCTCTTATCTTTCCCCAGGAAAGCTGGGGTTATTCAGCCTGGAAAAGAGAAGGCTCCAGGGAAACCTTACTATGGCCTTTCAGTGTCTAAAGGGGCTCCAGGAGAGCTGGGGAGGGTTTTATTGAGTAAGATGTAATCATTTATAAACCTGGTCATTTTTTTGTAATGACTGTGTCGTTCCAGGCTCAGAGCAGCTGCAAGTGGGGCTGACTGTGCCTGTCCTCCCTCCCTTTCTTTTAAGTCTGGAATTGTGAATATGCTTCTGAAAAAGTTCTTCCCTGTGAGCAGGGTGAGGTCCTGGCACAGGTTGCCCAGAGAAGCTGTGGCTGCCCCATCCCTGGAAGTGTCCCAGGCCAGGTTGGACAGGGCTTGGAGCTACCTGGGATCGTGGAAGGTGTCCCTGCCTGTGGCAGAGGCTGGAATGGGATGATCTTTAAGGTCCCTCCCAACCCAGACCATTCCATGATGCTGCTGGCCCCAGCTCATCCTGGGCTGGGCAGGACAAGCTGGTTTTATGTGAAGAACTGGAGCTGCTGCTGCTGCTGAATGCACAAGCAACGCCTGGAGAAACACACGTGTGCCCCATGTGACTGTGAGCACTCTCACAACACATTTAGCTCTCTTAGATCCTAAGGAGCTCCACTGCTCTGCTCAAAAATCCTTTAAATAATGGATGTTTCCCTCTCCCATGGGCAGTGGAGTACGTTCCAGTCCCACGGTACCAAGCATCTCATAAATGCCATCAGCCCCGACAGCCTCCCTGTTGCTATGCAACCCTGGGCTGCCTCTCCATATGAGTTTTCCCTGCCTCTTCCACAGGGATACGATACCCAACCACCAATTACATTCCTGATGCTAAAGCCTGACAGCGTTTCCCTTACGAAACAGGAGTTGTTTTTAGAGGGTGACGGGTCTAATTCTCCACCTTTCCATTGCTTCCACATTGTTGCACAGGACTGAATCCCGACCCTTTCTCCCCTGGAAAGTCACAGGAAAAATTTCAGCACAGCAGATGTACTAAAGGAGCTCCAAGAGAGTTGGAGAGGGAGGGACTTTGGACAAGGACGTGGAGGGGAATGGATTTGAGCTGGCATAGGGCAGGTTTAGATCAGATATTAGGGAGAAATTCTTGCCTGTGAGGGTGGTAAAGCCCTGGCACAGGGCTGCAGCACCAAAGAGAGACCCAAAGTCTACCCTGCATCGATTCTGGCCACAACAGAGAATGTGGTCAAATTAATGCAGATGAAGTTGGTTTTGCCAGGGATCTGGTTACAATCATGCAGTGACATCAGCTCCCTGCTCCTGCAGTGACTCCTGGTGCTGTTACCCTCATCATTCCACAGAGGATTTCAAAGACATTTGAGAGTTTGTAGTTTTTTCTACCCTGCAAATTGAGCAGCTCTGCCCCACTGTGAACACTCAGGTGGTTCAGGGCAAGGCTGAAGATGAAGCAGAGGTTGACTCCTAGTGCAAAAAGCAGATGAGGATCTAATTCTAAGTATAAGCTGTGCTTGGGCTGAGGGAGCCACACCAGCACTTCCTCTGAGAGGTGGGAACGAACAACACCACAGCACAGCAGAGGAACTAGCTGGGAATATCTTTAAAACCCCTCCTATATCACTGGATTAAATTTCCTTTTCAGCCTCAGGCAGCCAAGCTGATAAGGAATGAACCCCTAAGAAAGCCAAGGCAGCAGGAAGGAGCCAGAGGCTCCATCAGGAAGATCCTGAGCAGCGCCAGGGAACCCAGGCTCTCCCCAGGGCACGTGTAACTCCCATCAGTGTTAATAAAACCTGGCAGTGAGTGTGGAACAGGATCCCTCGACTTCAACACTGCAGGAGGCACAAGCCAGAACAAGGCAATTTCATACTGGGGTGCCAAGGAGGGAATAGATTTGCTTTTTTTTGAAAAGCTGCATGGTTGAAATCAACACCTCCTACTCGAAATGCTGCATTTCACAGCTCTTCTGCACAGTTCACGTCTCTCCACATGAGACACAAGTTAAACTTCAAACAAATATTCCTGGGAAAAAAGTGCTCGTTAACTTAAAGCCTGGAAATAAAGATGTACAGAAAGTGATAGGATTTCCTGACAACAAGTGAATAACAAACATGCTCGTTTCAACACACAGCTCGAACAGCTCAGATGTTTTAGGAGACAGCAGTCAAAACACACACACAGTCACCCCCCCAGTGAACACCAGGAGAGCTTCCCAAGACTTTCACATTACCGATTTCAATAAAAATGGATTGCCAGGATAGGGAGGATGTGAGGGGTGGGGAGGCCCTGGCACAGGCTGCCCCATCCCTGGAAGTGTCCAAGGACAGGTTGGAACAGCCTGGGATACTGCAAGGTGTCCCAGCCCATGGCAGAGGGTGGGACTGGATAATTTAAAGCCTCCTTTCAACCCAAATTCTTCTGGGATTCTATGATTCTAAGGCTTGTGTTCAGACAAGTTTGTGTATAATACAATTTATTTCCCCCAAAAGCTATCATTGAGAGCTTTTAAACAAACAAAAAAAAAAGGCAGCAAGGTGGATGAGCACAAAATATCAGCTCTAAATTTATTTATGCTATTTTCTTCTTGTTTAAGAGCACGGTAAAAATCAACTCCTTGCAGTCAGTCTAAGTGAAATCACTGAGTAAAGTAGTTTAAATAATTATTCCTGTCAAAATAATGGGAGAACAACAAGGCAGCTACCAAATGCCCATCACTATGAGTTTCTGGCCCAGATTTATCTGCCAGCTACGTTCATGGCCTGTTAAACCAAAGAGAAGTTATTAAGAATGAAAAAGCAGGAACTGTTTCAGCACTGGCCCTTGTATCTTCATTAATTAAACTGAACAGCTTCACTCCTCCCCCCAGCTCCAAACAAGACAAACAACTCATTTTTAAAGCCTGCTTGCTGCAAACTTGCTTCCCCCAACCCTAACAGCTCCCTGGGAATTTAAAGATAAAACTTAAAGATTAAAATTCCATTTACTGATAGTACCAAAATATTATTTTTGAGTGCAACTCATGCTCTCAGTGAATATTAGGGCAGAACAATCCAGAAACTATTCACTGTAGGGCCTGCACCTATTCCAAGTTCAGAATCAAAGTGCCAACTTGTAGTAATTTCTCTTTACCAGTCGTTTGTTGAAGGATGTTCACCACAAAGGACAAACTTTTTGCAGACAGACTTGGGTACAACATAACAGGCACTGCAGATCAAAGCTCTTTTATAAGCAGAGACAGTCCCAGGTGAATGCAGGTGTGGAACTCAAACCAGGACCCTCACCTGCTCCAGAAAGAGATCTTGTTTGATGGGAAAAGGCAGAGTCCACCAGCTTTCCCCAGCATCAGCTGTACAAGCTTAGAATGAAACATCTGGGAAGATTAATAAAAACTAGGATGGGAATTTCAGCCTCTAGCAGGGAAAGGGCTGTAGGATACAACAAAAAACCCTCAAAAAGCACTAAGTGCCCTCCCAGGACATCTGGGACACGTGCATCAAACAAATCACTCCACTTCCATCTTTATTTTGGAATTAAAAACTGAATCCAAACGTGACACTGCCAGATGAATTTTGAATGAAAACACCATTTTGTTTGACTGCCTGGTACACCAAAAGCAAACCACTATTAAATGCACTTTGGTGTTATTTTTAGCAAGTATTGGAGCAATTTAGGTAAAACACATCGACCGCTCCCAGCCCCAGAATTCATCTTCCCTGTTCTGTGTGAAACACCTCTGAGGTTTTCCATGACTTTTTTTAGCAGTGTAAGTGGAGCCAAGGGAATCAAACAGCTTGCCCTGGTTTTATTGTAAGGCAACAAACCTTGAGACCTAGAACAGTGCTGGCTGCGAAACCAGATCTCACACCTATAATAGAACCATGACCGACAGACCCTGATTAAATCAGAGGCCATGTTTAATGCATGTATCTCTGCTCCTCTTACAAAGACACCAAGCTGATGACATGAGATGAAAATGGACAATTAACTCCATCAAAATACCTGAAAGAAAAGTCAGCTTCTATTAAAGGAGTCTCACTGCAAACTAAAAACTTCTGCAGCTATGGATTTGCATGTGAAGGTGGAGAAGTTTACTCACACTGACTTAAATTGTGCTGCCTGAGCTGAATTAGGACAGCTTTCTGTGCTTGGTATGATGCAAAGTCCTCCACCAGTAGCCACCAGTGGCAGCAGGGAAGGGAGCTGGAAGCCCGTGGCTTTATCAGCCAGGAGTTCATGGGCACAGCTGCTCCTTGTTTAAAAACTCATCAGCCTCGAGTAACTGCTCTACACTACAGCCCTAATGCAGTGCAGAAGCCAGTTTACATGAGTTACACTTTTTCCTCATTCCACAGTTTTTTATAGCACAATGTCAGTAGTTCCAAGGACTAAGACAGGACCCTGGTTGCAATCAGGTAAAGAAGTACCAGCCCCAGGTCTGTATTCACCAGTCATGCGCCACAAACACGATGGCACCAAGCACAAACTTCTTGGAGGGCTCAGTTTGAGCCCAAGTGAAACCAAATTCACACATGAAGCCAAGCACAAGCAAAATTCCTGCTGAAACAGAGGAACAGCAGATCCAGCACTGTCACCAGCGACTTAAGTGAAAAGGTCACCCCGTGTCTCCTGATTTCTGCTCCGTAAGCAGTGCTGTGTAGGACAGCAGAACACTTGTCCTCTGCAGGTTTCACATTCCCATTTTTCAGCCTTCTTTTACACGAGTTGCTCATTCAGACGATTCAAATAAATCTCAAACACCAGCTTAAAAAAGCCAACCATGCTAACACTGTAACAGTGGTTACCAAATATTTTCTTCTTCATTCTTTTGTGCTTACTTGACACTATTTTCTTTCCCAGTCTGTCCAAA